GTTGCTGAAAGTGTCCCCTTTCACATAACACTTAGACATTTGATCCATTGTGTATAGAAACATTTTGATCACTGCAGCTTTTTTGCACGTTTTTCTAGACTCCTATTAGCTGAACTTCTGTCATATTCGAAATAAGACAACATGAATCAGCAAAACTGGCAAGCTGATCTGTCAGTCCAACCCCAAGTATCCTGAAAACTCATGTCACAAAGCATCTCTTTGGGTCTACAGGGTTATTGATGCTACCGTACAATCAGGAGTCAAAGCTCTCCTTTCCTTTTTCAGTTAACTGGATGTTGAAGCTTCTTCCAGTCATTACCTCTCATCATGTCCTTGTAACAGATTGCATTTGGTGATAAAAAGGCTTTCTGGCTCTGGAGGCTTAAGTCCACGGCAGATGTACAAGATGTTAAAGGTATGATGGATGGCAGGATTTGCTGTTTGCATAAACAGTTAATGAAATAGATCTTCAGATTGCCAGCCAGTCGCAGGAAGGAAGGAAGGAATAGATTTCCTCATGTTGTAAACGGTTTGTTTTCTTTTCATTCAGCAGATGGAGCAGTCATGGGAGTCATTTTGTTTTTGTCATCTTTGGTTCATCAAACACTAGAACGGGTGGCCTACATGTTGACAAGCGGCCACATCAACACTTTAAAGATGACTCATTTTCCACAACACCACAGCCCATAATCTCAAACCCAAATTGATTTCTGTTTGACTTTTTCCTCTTCAGACGCTTGTAAAAGACACTTGCTGTTCCAACATGATGTTGTTTATGTAAATCTCAAATAACTGTATTTTTAAATACTTTTGTTGACAATACAGTACTGACTTTAGTCTCTCTGTCCTGGTTGGAGGGCACAGAGGGACTAAAGAGTCGATGCTTAATAAAGATATTCTGATATGTTTATTTGACTGTTTTTTGTATGAACTGAAATGTAGCTCCGGCTGCACAATGAGACACAAAACATTCAGTCATTTTCTTTATTCAAGCAGGCATTTACAAGATAAACTCAAGCCAAAGTCACAGTCAGTAAAAGGCCTTTTTAAAGGTGCTGGGCAGATATTACTGAGATATAAACACATAGGTTTTATTGCACATTTCAAGCGGTGGTGCTGTGCGGTGTGTTTAAGGCACGCGGCTAATAGAGAGAGCACCTCGTCCCCAGCATGAGCCCAACCTGCACAGTACAGACACTGCACTACAACGTAGCAAATACACAAGTTATCAACGTGGCTGTTAAGTACACATCACGTGGCACGTTTGTAAGTCATCAAGACGACAAGAACGAGACTGAACCCACGGCTGGTGTTGTGAACTAACAATGCAGGGTGTGCGTGAGTGACTTCGGTCACATCAGATTCCCATCTGATTGACAACTTTCATAAAGTCAAAGTAACAGACTGGATTGTGTGTGTGTAGGTGTGTGTGTGTGTGTGTGTTTATAAAGGTGCTCTCTCCATAGGTAATATGACATCCTTTGAAAATGTAAAAGCAGCATCACTGTCAAACGCTCTTACACAATTAAATGTTTAGTCCGTATAACTCACAGATGAGGACATTTGTTATCATATAAATAGTTATTACAAATCTATCTCTCTATTATAGACAGGTTTAATCTGGCATTGTGAGGCTGCGTTTCCCAAACACATTTTTATCTTCATTCTGTCCCATTTAAAGCCAGAAACTGCAGGTAGTGTTAACACTCCAAATGCTTTGGATAAAATGGACACAGATCTATTCCCTCTGCCAGTGTGTACAGTATTATATCATCATGGGGATGAAATACTGAGTCCAGCCTCGGTCAGTATGAACGGATGGTGTTAGTGTCGGTGGTGTACTGGTGACCGGTTCCCGCTGTCTCAGTGTGGCTGAAACGTCTTGGCCAAGTCCTCCAGCAGAGACAACAACTTCTGCTCCTCCAGGGCAGAGCTGTGGGTCCAGGCCAGCGGCAGGTGGGTGGACACCATCTTTCGGTCTGTACACAAACATACAAACATTTCAACGTAAAGGTGTGTACATGCAAGAACTACCTAACTACCTACCTTGGGTATTCCCTGACCTCCAGTGTGGTTCTGATGTTCACATAATATTGAGTTCTACAAGGAGTCAGAGGGTCGGCTCTGATGCTGTTGGCTGTTTGAAAGGCAATAAAGGCCAAGCATGTGTGCAAACATCAGCCTGCTACCATTTAAAGGAGACTGGTTGAAGGAAGGTAAATACAGGATTCATTTTCAACCATCATCACCAATGGCAACAGACACTGACATTATTCAAACACTAGGGAGTCTGCAGGGTTCACACTTTAAAGACCTTTTAATATCACATAAACTGCAATAATATTAATATAATAATAATACCTGTTTCACAATCACACTGGCCAAAGTATTAAAGGATAACTGAAAATCTTCTCAGCAGTATATAACAATCATTTCTAATGATATAATTAAATAAATTAGATGGATTAACCAATGAAAAATGACTAGTTTATTTCTGTTTTTGCTTTGACACTTGCCGGTTATAAGACGGTGGGCTTCCTTGCTGCTTTTATTTTTCACTTTGTTTTTAAGAGTATGGCATTTCCATAAATAGCCACTCACAGTGATTCAAGGGTCTCAGCAGTTGCAGGCCTACATGGACATACAACACTGAACCTCCTTGTACAAGTTGAATTTCTGATTTTCAGCTTGCATGGGATTGCCGAAATTAAATGTCCACCGCCGGCAGTTTGGGTGAGCAGGTGTTGACATGAGACAAATAGACAGCTTGACTGGTATTTGGGGAGACACTTTAGATATGTGGACTCATCCTGCAGCAGAATCCAAACAGATTTGATGTCTTCTGCTACTCAAGCATGCCGTCTCCATGTCACTGTCCCTTCATACGAGTATTACATTAACGTACTGAAAGCAGCAAGGTGGACCGACCTGCTGAAAAACCAGGACACCAGACATAACGGCCTTATAACACATCACATTAAAGGTGAATGCAGCATTATTGTGTCCCTGTTAAAGTGAGCATTTCATATTAGGTTGCAGCCTCCTTGTTCAAGGCCACTGGGGTCTTTGTGTGTGTGTGTGTGTGTGTGTGTGTGTGTGTGTACACCAAAGTGCATTTGTGAGCGTGTGCTCATAGAGGCACTGTACTCTCTGGCAGTATCTGGCACCAAAAGCAGCCCACTCCAGCTGCAATGGACACAGGCCAACCCGTCTCACACACACACACACGCACCCTGCCGACCCACAACTGACAAACACATAATTCAGCCAAAAGCGTTTTCTTCTTTTCTATTCTTCCTTTCTTGGGGTGATACGATTTTTTAATACACAAATCCCTCATAAATTATGGGCAGGTAAATGAAAGTGACAAAGATTGCTTTAGTTCAGCAACATACCCTGGTAGAAACGTCCGCTGGGGTTTGTGGTGGCAGCTTCAGAGACAGCCAGCCAAACCACGGTGTCGGCGCCCTGCTCCGGGGTCCGCAGACTCTCCTTCATGGAGCTGTGGAAGTCTGGCATGGCGTTGGCCACCGCTGGGACGGACAGACAGAGATAGAGGAGAGAAATAAACCAGAATAAGTGTCAGGAAGCACCAAGGGCTGATTTTTGTTTGAAAAGAGGATGATTTCATTCAACTTTTTTTTCAACAATTTTTGGTAGCTGTTAATTCTCAGTTGTGCGTGCGTGTGAGCAGGCGGTACCTGGAGTGTCGACCCAGCCAGGATGCATGACGGAGAAGTGGATGTTAGTGTGCGTCTTTGCCAGCTGCTCTGTCATCACCACCTGCTGCCTCTGGAACACACACACACACGAGAGATTCTGGGGGTGGACTATAAGCAGGTAAAACACACGAAACAGACACAGACTTGAGGCACAGTTCTCTATGATATCATGGTAAAAGGCACATACTTAAAGTGATGTTTATGGACCAAAACCTCCTTCCAAAGCTTCATATGTAACGTGCAGTATCTTTCATTTTGGCAAATTCCACCCTAAAGATTCTAGCAGGATAAAAGCTTTCATGCAGATTTCTATGAAATTCGATCAAAATGTGTCAGCGCCATTCACACCATTCAACTATATATATATCAATGATAACTAAATATTTCAGTATACGATCAATAAATGATCTGAATTATGAATGATCTACACAGCAATATCTGCCCTGTAGTTTGTTAATGTAGCATACACTTACTGATACAATAATCACATTATTCTAGGTTTTTTCTTTCTATGATAAATTTGACATGAAAATACATTATATGTGTCTGTTTCTGTTTCCTAATGATCTCAGAAAAGCCTGTCCATCAGTCGAGGATGAGCAGGTTTCGAGCTCAGGTCTTACTTTGTGCTGGGCGTACACCATGGTGCCATCATAACGGCCTCTCTCAGACTGCAGGTTTCCTGTCCTGAGCTTCTGCACCAACATCCCCCCTGATGACACTGTGATCTGAACATGGACAGATGGAAACATGATGAAGGGCGAAAGAGCTTTTAAAACATATTTGTGGTATTACTATTTTTACTTTACATGACATTACATTGGCGTGACCAGGAATGAACCATTAAACAGCCCCAATCCAGTAGTCCAAAGCTATTAAATGTTCATTAAAATGATGGATAATGTTGTTTAGTGCAGAAATATAAGTCTAGTTTAGAGAACTAAAAAAAGTTTTGAGAACTATCTCTAAGTTCTTCGAGGTAAAACAAACAGACAGTAGAGATTGTGATGATGAGAAACAGACTCATGAGGACTCACCACTCTGGGATCTGCGCTCTTCTCCAGCAAGGGAATGAGACTCTTGGTGAGAATGTAAACCCCTAGAGGACAATAGCAAAGAAAAAAAACTGTTCACAACCCGTTTACCCGTCTGTCAGCGTTTTCTTGTCACCTCACCCCTGAGAGTTGACTCACCAAGAACGTTGGTGGCGAAGCTCTTCTCAAGCCCCTCAGTGTTCACATCCCTCTGACTCATGATGGAGCCTGCGTTATTGATCTGCACACATTACAACACATGAGACAGTCTTATATTGATCCAAAAGTATTTTGCACAATATGTCAAGTCAATACTGACGGTCAAATTGAGGTAATAACTTGCCCTATATTTCCAAATGGGATATGAAAATAGGTAACTCATGTGACTCACCAGTACATTGAGGGCCTTGTACTTCCTCTTGAAGCCCTCAGCAAACTCCCAGACCTTCTTGGTCTCAGACAGGTCCAGGATGTGGACATAGACCTCCTGTAATGACACCAGCCATGTAGAATAATAAATAATGTCACATCTGTCCCGTGTTTTTCAAAAAGTCTGTTGTGAAGCGAGTCATACTGTACTTTATTTCCCGTCTCCTTGACGATGTCAGCCCTCGCCTCCTCGGCTTTGTCCTTGTTCCTGCACACCATGTGGACCGTTCCACCTGCAGCGGAAGATGGAATAAACATAATTCTTTACCAGCTGAGGAAAACAGCATCTGATCACACTCAAAAGGAAAAGAAGAGTGTTATTATCAGCTTTGTGGGATGTATCCAACCTCATACGACCTGTACAGCTGCAGTTCCAAAATGGTAACTTCAAGTACAATATGTAAGTTATTCTTTAATGAAGGCTTGACAACAGTCTTTGTAAGGAAGCTGGGGATATACTGTAGTAATGAAAGACCTAAACTGAAAAGATCATCTGAGACTATGACTGGGAAAGAAATTTTTCTGAGGTATGTCAATGAAAGGTTGTAAATATCAAATCCTGGTTCACAGACGGTTGTTTTTATAGTGTTTTGTAAGACCGGAGGACACACAGACCCTACAATGATAATATCTGTATAAGCCAGAGAACACTCTTTTACATTTATGCTATGCTCCAATTTAATTGTCACTCTTTTTGATTTCCACTAAACATTATGACATAATGTTTCCCTCTGGTGGGGGTCTGGGCTATATCATGAGAGGTTGGCCATCACTACATGGTCTTCTGTATTGCACAGTGGGAGCTTTTTGATTGATTGAGAGTTGATGGTTTGTATGAACCAAAAATGGGAAAATCTCATGCCTCACTATCATTACTACAATTACTCCTCCTAATAATTACTTTTTGCAGTGCATTACTATCAGTCACTGTACACGTGTTGTGCTGACAAACATCCAGTAGGATTGGTACCCTTTTTAGCGATGGCCATGGCAGTGGCTCTCCCGATGCCACTGTTGGCTCCTGTAATCATGAAGGCGCGTCCAGCCATGGACACCTCCAGGTCCTTCTCAACGAACCTCTTGGACGCTGACAGGAAGGCATTCCTGCAGGACACAGACATACTGCATTATACTCATGTTAGCAGCCTGTTTAACTGCACATATTTAACCACCCACTGCGTATCTATGCCTCAGAGCTCAGCTGAGTGAGGTCGGGATAGGGATGGACTTTTTAGTGTATGTGTGCTCAGGTCAAAAAGGGTCAGCCTGGTCACTGTACGCCTCTTCACAGCTTTACTGTACCGATACAATGAAGACGAGAGTGTGCCTGGCGTCATCTCTGATGAGAAGGGGTTTGGGGTGAGACTACCGACGATGACAACAGGATTGGGGTGTGTGTGTGAGCGTGAGCGTGTGTGGCACCAAAGACTTCAATGCCCCCGATTGTCCTGGATGCCATTGTTGAGGGCGGCTGAAGGGGGGGGATAAAGGGGACAGGGAGGGGGGTAATACTGAGGCTAAATGCCCGCTCTGTTCCATGGTGTCATGCAGAGAGCTATTAGTGCAGGGTCAGAGCGGGTTGCCGGGCAGCTCTCTGGGAGAAAAGATAACACAGAACAAAGGGAAGCGGGGAAACAATCACAAAAGCACCTCTTCACACAACTTGGCTTGCTGTATAGTGATGAGGAAAGGCGCTTTAGGGCTGCAATAGATCAGATAGGACTGATAAGGCATTTAGAGCCCTGTTGTAGTGGAACAAGTGACTTATGGTCTTAGATGGCCACTGCTGAGTCACTGTAAACTTCACTCTATTCATAAATCAGTTATTTCAAAGGAGCACTGCAGTTCAGTGATGCAGTGGCAATCATACAGGACAGTAAACTGAAACCTCCAGTCAGTGATCATCAACAGGAGGACCAAACACCAGCTGCATCTTCACCAATACCAGAGGTTCTATCTTATCCCTTACATAACCTTTGACCTGACCCAACCTCATAGAACCTCATAGAATCTATAGATTTTAGGTAGATATTACTTCAAATTTCATTAAAGATTAGTCTGGTGATTAGTTTCTTGATTAACTGATTAATCAGTTGGTCTGTTAAAAGTCATACAATAGTGA